TTTTCTTTTTACTATTATCTACTCCACCCCTATTCATAACTTTAACTTCTTGTTGGGGAACGTCAACATAACAACCACCCATGTCATTAAGATATGTACCAATATCATCATCACCAACGTACTTGTAATGTTCAGGATCCACATAGTGATAGGTGAATACCTCACATTAACATTTTCAGCAACACTATGAAATTGAGGTACACTAGGAGTCATGAAAGTACCTATTGGATTGTTGCTCCCTTTATCGTTGCGTAAGTTAGCAACCGGCTCATTTCCACTCTCGCCACCCTCCGTAATCGCATCACCTTCATCAGCCACCACAAAGACTTTCTCAAGCCTTCCTCCAATCAATTTGATTACGTTGATCAACATTCTAATATCCATGTCTTCAACTATGGCTATATAATGATTCAATTTAGGATGATGGAAACAAAGACTAATTTTATAACTATCTAACAAACTGGTTTTCATTCTCACCAAAGATATAAAATCACTATAACTAATATACTCGTAAATTACCAAAGCGAATTCAAAAATACCTCCTTGTGAACATACGTATTCAAGATTTGTTTCCACAACTTTCCACCTCCCACCAGTTAGAACGCAAATCAAATATTCATTTATTTTATTAGAGAGGTTTTAAACAAATTTTCCAAAGAAATAACAAATTAAGTGATAATTGTTTGCAAAACTTTATATATAATATGGTTGTTTCATAGTCAAGCCCTATCAATTTCGTAGTCAAAATAAAAAAAATAAAAAAATAAAAAAAGCGCAAAATCGTAGGTGGATGGTAGAGGAAATCACAGACAAACTTAGTTCATCTGTGATTTTAGTGTGAGGTTGCAGGTATTTATACGGAAAAAAATGAAAAAACTAAAAAAAAAACCACATGTGAACGTACAAGTCACTAAAGCGTACCCGTGCTTTAGCGACTTGTACGTTCGCAGATAGAAAGTTAAAATCGCAGATGGGCTTAATCCATCTACGATTTTGATGGTTATTTTTGTAATTTGGGTTTTTTTTTACTAATTTCTGCAAAGTAATTAAGTGATTAGACTATTTTTGTAATTTTCTATTTATTTTTCATAGAACCCTCATATATATATATATATATATATATATATATATATATATATATATATATATATATATATATATATATATATATATATATATATATGTGGAAGTTTTTATATTAAAAATATTTTGTTTTATTTATAAAAATTAATATTAATCATAATGCTAAAAGTAGCTTTTTCATGGAATAGAATGATGTTATTATTTGTTTAATAGTTTTCAAGTACAAAAGGTACAAATGGTGGAAAGGCATATGAAATGGTATGGCATGTTGCATGCTTTTGTTGTTTACATTTTTATAATCTTTCTAGTTATTGACGTAAGTATGGAAGAAGAGAAGTTCTTTTGAGATTCCTTTAATATATAAGATATATTAACGTGCATTAGAAAAGCTAGGAGTTTTGTTTCTTTCTTTTTCCGTTTCAAAAATTCTGATACGTGTTGTCCACCTTCTTAGTTCTGCTACATTTTAAATTAATGCCAATGATTTAATTAGTATTCAATTCGTAATTAATTAGTATTCAATTCGTAATTAAACTAGGCGAATATTTGTGCATTGCGTAATACAACAATGTATTTGAAATCTTTACAAATATATGTTTTTAAATATATAAATGACGTTGTTGTTAACTCTTATATAATACATTGGCAGAACCAAGAATTTTGATATGGGGGTACAAACATTGTCAGATATATATTATATGTAGTTATCCAATATTGGGCATTAAAAAACATGCTACAATCTCTTTAGTTGGGGTGCAATAACATGAAGCATGTTTACAAATAATAATTTTTAGATATATAAAACAATTATTTTGGGGATACTGTAGTACCCCCGACGCCCCATCTAGTTCCGCCACTGATATAATAAATTTTATAATAAGTTTGTATAAATATTGTTTGTTCTGAATTATATGATAATGTAGACATCTTTTAAAATTCTATAATCTCAATTGTCTCAATAGCTTCTACCTGTAGGTTACTCATCAATAAAATTAAATATAATATATGGTTTAATGATATTTATAGTTGTTGTTATGATTAATTAATTTTAAAAAGTTTACTTGCTTAAGATTTAAATTTTTATCATTGTAATTATTTAAAACATTAAAAATTGTTTTTGTTTTTAAAAGTAACAATATAATTTTTGTATATAATATTATTTTTAACTATGGTTTTTATAAGTTATTTAAAATAACGTATTTAGAAACTTTTAATTATTTTGATTTGGTTTCAAAATTGAACTTTTTAAAATTTATTTGCTAAATATTGTTACTTTCTTTGTTTGTAATTATTTAAAACAACAAACATTGTTTTTGTTTCTAAAGATAACATTATAATTTTTTATATAATATTACTTTTAACTATTTTATTTTAAGTTATTTATTTGAAAATTCTTAATGATTATAAAAAATAGTTTTACTATGAACAATGTTTGTTGAATATTTTTATCATTTTGGGTTGTATTAGACTTTAATTAAAAAAATGTTTGTTAAATATTGGTAATATATGCAGCAAATTGTATGGATTTGTTAAAACAACGGTAATGGTAAAAAAACAAAATCTATAAAAACAAAAAAAAAAACACACACACACACGCACACACACCCACACAATAGTTGTACCAATGATATGTCGTCGGTATAGGTCACAACTAAAAAAACGGTATTCCATCTTTCCCGACGACATTTTGTCGGTATAGGTGAGACATGTCTTGACAACATATCATTTGTACATATATCACATATAGCGACGTCATGTCGTCGGTATAGATAAATAATAAAAATTTTTCCCTGAAAATCAGTCCCGACGAACCCATCGCAAACGAAATGTTGTCGGTAAAAGTAGTATCTATCACAACGACATCTATCTAGATGACCTTTCTTACGATTAGCGACAAAGAAATACATACAACTTTTTACCGACAATATATCGTCAGTATACGGTATCCCAACGACATTTCGTCGGTATACGGTATCCTGACGACATGTTGTCGGCATCGGATAAAAAAAAGGAGATTATTCATGTAGCGTATATGACTATCACAAATCTTATCTTTAATTGAAAATCAAATAAAACAATTTAATTAGTTAAAAAAACTGCAATATTATCAAATAAATGAAGTTACTATACAAAATTTAAAATTTAAAAATAAATAAATAAGTAAATAACTTCAATAATAATGACTTTAATTTTTTTTTTATGATAAAAAGCAATTTATTAATTTATGAGTTCGATCTTACATATTTGGATAAATTACACCAATCGTCCCTCGTGTAGGTGCCAGAAAGCATATTTAGTCTCTATTTTTAAAAATTAACTCGGATCGTCCCTTGTTTGCTTAAAACTTGCATGCTTCATCCCTGATATGCGTTTTTGTTGCGTATGTAGTCCATGATAGATATAAAATGACCATAATGCCCTTTGTGTATTTCTTTTCCTATTAACTTACTGTTATTATTATTATTATTATTATTATTATTATTATAATTAATGGAAAAAAAAAGAAAATGTGGCCCCACCTACCCCACCTTTTCAAGATGTTAATCTAATTTATGTTTTTCTCTCTCAAACTCTATATAGCATCATCAGAAACGTTCATCACCACCACCATATATCTAAACAACCACCGGAAACATCTCTATTTCCTCTGGTGTACCGCCGTCACCTACCACCATCTCATATCTTTGTCGAAACCCTAAAAAAACCACCTAAATCTCCATCTCCATCGCCATAAAAAACTTCACTATTTATAAACGCCTCACCTTCTTTGGAACTGTCACGTGGTCGTGTCTGCTACCTCGCCGGAGAAGGTGACCTCTTTGTCAGATCTTAACCATCGTCATCTTTATCGTCATCGCCTTCATCTTCGTGAAAACCTTCGTCATTTCAGATCTACAACATCTCAGATCTACACCTTCGTCGTCACTACCTGTTCTCCTGAAAACATCATCAATGGACTCACAAATCAGGAGACGAGGGTGGTAGTTCATTAAAGCTTATAGATCTGGTGGACGATTTGCACCATTTTTGTTGTAGAGGTGGGTTATTTCGAACCTTCATCATCTCAGTGTTGGAACGTCGTCGCCTTCATCGTCTTAGGTTCCGATCTGAGGATTCTGTAACTCAGCCGACTAGGGTTTCGAATGCGGCCTATGTTTTGGGTTTGGTTTGGTTAAGTGGCGGTGCGGTGGATGGTCATTTCCAGTGGTTCATGAGGTACCAGATTTTAAAGAGGGGATATGTAGGAGAGAGGGAGAGAGAGCGAGAGAGAGAAAGAGAGAGAGATGTATGTGTGTGTGTGTGAGAGAGAGAGAGAGAGACAGAAAAAGAGATGAAGATAAGTCGTAGTTTCCGATGGTTTTCGGTGTTGATGGATGGTGGCCGGAGGTGGCTGGTGGCTAGAGGTGGATGGTGTCTGGAGGTGATTGGTAGTGCTGTAATTGTCGGTGGTTGATGGCTAAAGGGGTTAGAGTTAATTTAAGGGGGTGTTTCCTTTTCTAAAAATTATAATTAATAAAAAATAATAGATTAGCTATAAACAAATCCATATATAATTAATAAATAACAAATAAATGGAAACTAAGTCAAAAAATAAATAAATAAGGGCAAAATAGTCTTTTTATGTGTGGAGGGACTAAGCGTGCAAGAAAAAACATACACAGGGACTGTCCGAGTTAATTTTTAAAAGTAGGGATCAAACGTGCTTTCTGACACCTACACGAGGGACGATTGGTGTAACTTACCCTACATACATATTTAGATCCTAAAAAAACAAAAAAAAACAAAAAAACCAAGAAGTGATGTAGACAGCCAAACTTTTCAAATTTATCCCTCGTTTTCTTTACATAAATAAGAATAAGTGGCATGCTCTTAGACACCATAAGTATTGCTAACACAAGCTCAAATCAGTTAAGAAGATGCTGATGTCGACAAAAGCACTCACACACTTCATGCATCCGTCTCACCAACTCACCGAACACACAGCAGATACCATATTCATATGTAATGGGTGCAAGATGTATGGAACAGGCACAAGGTTCACTTGCACATCCTGTAATTTTGACCTACACGACTACTGCGCCAAATGTCCCCCTTCGCTCCCTTTTACTGTAAACCACCCCCACCCAATGAGTCTTGTGGTCAACAAACCTCAAATCAACCACAACAAACATTGTCAAATCTGTCGCAGCCAAATTCAAGGTCTTGCATACATGTGCAAAGACTGCGACTTCTGGATCCATCCTCTCTGTGTTTTGCATTACTTAGGCCTCCGATACTTCATACATCCCACTCACAAACTCACTGAACTCACAGCGAATACAAACTACATATGTAACGGATGTAACATCCATGGAACCGGAACACGGTTCACTTGCAGCACCTGTAATTTTGACTTACATGACTACTGCGCCAAGTCTCCCACTTGGTTACCTTCCACCCAAATCCACCATCACCCAATGACTCTTTTTGTGGACAAACACCAGCTCAACAAGATCAAACTTTGTCAAATATGTCGTACATCTATTCAAGGTCTTGCTTACGAGTGTAAGGGCTGCAATTTCTGGGTTCATTCACTCTGTGCTTTGCATAACTTACGACATGGACATGGTGGCCAATACAGGAATTTCAACCAGGGTGGGAAGAAATATATAACATTTTTTTCCTGGCATTGAGCTATATATTCTTATTTGTATGCTAAAAACATTGCAATTTATATTTTCCAGGGCATTCGTATACACAGCGAGGCTTTGAAGGTGTTACCTCGAAGATTGGTTTAGGTTTGGCTATAAACTGGATTTTTGCAAAGATCGGTGATTTTCATGATGGGGCCTCTTCCAGTGGTGCTTATACAACGGGAGGTTACGTGGGAAGTGAGGATTCTCTTTATGGGCTCATCCATAGCATTCAGTCTTTCTTTGAAAATAATTGGAGCTAGAGGCAGATGGTATTTGGATTATTCTTTCCCCGTAACATTTATGCTTTTTCTTTTTCTCATTTTATCGATGTACTTTTACTTTGTCTTTCTATTTATCACGTGGTAACTTGCGATCTGGATTATGATAATAAGATGGAATGTATAAGTGATACATTTGATCAGATCGCAAAACATAATTAATAAAATACATAGTAATACACCTTCTACGGGTTAACCGAGTCATCCCAACACCATATTGCAATGCATCGCCATATACAGGTGAGTTCATGTCACACACTAATGATGTTTCATGAGTATATCTACATCCGCAACATGTAGCCTAACTCTTCAAAACCTATTAAGATTTAAAACTAATTAATTTTATTAGGTATTTCTCATGCTTGGGAAGTAATATATATATATATATTATATATATATATATATATATATATATATATATATATATATTATATATATATATATATATATATGAAAAGTTCAATAGAGAACCATTATTAATCAAGGAACCAAGGAACCAATCCAAAGCGTCGGAATTTAAAGCGATCAACGGCAAAAGGAAAGGTTGTAAAATTTTATAATGGTCGCACATGTACCGGATTATAACAAAACTCACTTCCTTTTTTTCATTTAAAATTTTTTTTAGGCCAAGTTTTTATCGAAAAAAAAAAAAACCGAATATACCGTTGTTCACGATTTTTCGTCCTTTCCATAGAGATCATGATGATATATAAAAACGATGTGTAGATTGACACTGTGATCTAAACTGTAAATATTTTAATTTTTAACATTCACAATAGAAAAATCTCCAACAGTTCATATTCACATGAGAATCTGAATTACTATTATGCAACTGTGAATATAAGAAGGTTCACAAAAAAAAAAAAAAAAACTCGATCAGTGTAGATTCACACTGTGAATCCAAACTGTAAATATTTCAAATTTAACATTCACAATGTGAAAAAAGCTCCGATCAGTTCAGATTCACACTGTGAATCTGACTTATTATTATGCACAACTGTGAATCTAAGGAGGTTCACCAATATGAATCTGACACATGTTTATAATATGAATCTGAACAGGTTCACAATGTGAATTTGAACTGAA